TCAATCTCTTACATTCTTTTACTTTGAAGTAAACGTATATTTCAGGAGCTGTTCAAAAGCAGCTTATTTAGCTAATTGTTCACAGCCTGCCTTGGAAGCTTCATTGTTTTCTTGCCGCTTTGGTAAGGACCATGTGACTAATGTCAAGTCTTCATGTGTCTCCTCGTGAATTGCTTGCCCTTTTCTTAGGCAAGAGGGCAGTGTTGAAAAAATAAATCCATTTCTTTTATCTCATTCGAGCCAGGCATTCTATTTGCCACTACTGTTCAAAACTTTGGCTTTTCCTTTGACTTTGAGCTCTTCCTCACCTTCTCATTCATTTCTTGTATCAAAGCATCTCTATTGCCAACTCCAAAGAATAGTCTCTGTATGGCAAACTTGGAAAGCCTTGTTTTCTTAAAACACATTGCTTGTCAAGGGGAAGCTTTTGCTTCCCAGTTTTTCTAAGCAGAAGCGATAATGGCTATCAGCTTGCAAAGTTCTACTATTGGGAGTTATAAATGGAATTCACCTTAGAAGTTTTAAATGCTCTTTGGAACTGCCTTCCTCTTCCCTCAAACAACTTCAGTTAAATTTGCTTTACTGCTAGAATGCCATATTACTTTCTCTAGTTAGCTGCATCGGAATATACAGATCAAAAGATCATGAAGTAAATATGAGTAGATGTTACCAGATCATTAGTTGTCTTAGTTAGAAACCAAAAATGTAGAATCCTGGGACCATGAGTGTTGTGGAAAACACGTGGGACGTATTCTCTTTAAAGCTGCAATACAACCATTGCATTTTGTAGTGAATCCCAAACAAAAAACAAAACTTCTTAAAGTAGGGGTAGCCAACACGATGTTTATGTATATATAATTATACATAAGGAGAACATAATAAATAACAAAAACATATAATAGTGGAAAAAGTAATAGGAAATCCTCAGTATGCTACCCAAAACTTTCCTGTGTCCTGTTTGGTACTGCAAGCTTTTTTATTATTAATGCTTGAGGTCTTCAAGCCACAGGATTATGGGAATCCCATTCTGGGTCCTATGCAGTAGCACTGTGCTATATTCACTAACACCCTCCAGCTATGCCCTTCATAACTACCATTCTACAAATCTTGATCTAATACTTTCATTTATAGTCACTATAAGCATATTATTTATATTCACCATATTCACATTCCACAGTGTCTGTATATCTTATGTTCTTACTGATATTTATTTTAAAAGTGTATTACTCCCTGCTGGGATATGCAAAATACTGAGCTTTTGACTTTTGTGTTTTTTGCATTTGCTTTGGTGTGTTCATTGTGAATTGCAGCCTTGGTAGAGTTCTTTTTTTATATATTAAAAAAAATATAAGCATCCATGTGTTGTAAGAGCTTTAGGAAATCAGTATCATCATTGCATTGGGAGATGAATAGGCCATCAAGAATTATAACAGTACTATGTGCTGAAGGACCTTTGTTTTTATGAAAGGAAGGAGATACTTAATTGTATTAGAATATATTTTGCTATGTTCTGGGTATGAGTAGCGCTTCCTTCCCTTTATAGTTCTTAGTTTGGGGTGGAAATGTGGTACTTGTGGCCCTCCAGATATTGCTGGTGTATAACTCACGCCATTTCTCACTGCTGTCTCTGTCTGCTGCAGCTGATGGGAATCTGAATCTAACAACATACAGAGGTTCACAAGTTCCCCATCCTTAGGAATTTGTGGAGTAACATCTGAACAAAACATTCCTTCAGTTACTGTCCTTTGCTTCCTTGCCCCCCTCCCCCCTATTTATGGAGGCACTTAATAACATCCAGGACTTGTGGAGCTTCCCAGCATGCTCAGTGGCAATTAGAATAACATTGGCATAGGGGGGATAAACTTTCTGTGATACAAGGCAGTATTAGGTCGGTAATTGCCTGTGCAGATGACACATCACTGTTCCAGAGATCACGAAGGAAGGTTTGGGGGGGGAGGTCAGATTCCATGTAATGAGGCTTTTCCTGCTGTGTTACTATAGCCCTATGACTATTCTTCCAATTCTTCCCCTCCCCCTTGTAGTTTCAGTAATCTCTTCAAAATGCAATAAATTATTTGGACACACACACCCCAGTGATATTATTCATTTATATAGATTTATCACCTGCCCTGTTTAGTAGACTCACTGTTGAAACTAAAAGCATGAAACTCTAGCGAAATGGAATAAAAAAGTTCATCACATTCAAACTCTGCTGACTTGATCCTAAACCATTAAAGCGAGAGCAACCTGGTTGATTTTATATTGCTTTTGAAATGTCCTCAGGCTTGTTAGTACTCAGGCCACTCCAAGGTAAAGTCTGAGGCACCTAAGTCCAACAACTTGCTGAAGGTAAGCAGGTTGGGTCCTGTCAGTGCCTGGATGGGTGACCACCTGAGAACCACATGTATGCCACCTTGGGTTCTATGATAGAAGGAAGGAAGGATATAAATTCAAGAAAATGAATCTTCTCACTGAAACTGCCAAACCATTTTCAAAGACTACTTGACCTACTTCAATTTGTCTTCAGTGTGCGCACACTTATTTTTCCCCACTTGGAAAATGGAATTATGATAAGTTTATAGTTGTATCCAAAGGATACCTTTTCCTGTGTGAAACTGCCTGTCAGTTCAGATGTTCTGAGGTCCTTTTCCAGGTTCCCCCTTCCTCTTTCAGAGTCTAAGGAGGTGACTACTGGTGAAGAGTGCCCTGGCTGTGGAACGCCTTCCAAATGCTCATTTGCTTGACCCTTTCATTATTATTGTTTAGGCACCATATTGTATGCTCTTGCCAAGGACATGTATCTCAGTTAACATCTGAAACTTACGGTACTCGTATGTGTTCAGGACCCTGAATGTTTGGGGAGAATTTTGCTGTGGTGCTAGGCTAATCTCGCCCCTCTGTTTTGCTGGAGGATAGGCTGCTGTGAGATCAGCAGACTTGGCATGGGAACTAGCATGTTTTACCAATTATATAGGAACACAATCTGGGTAACACTAGAGACTTTGGCTTGGTATCAGAGTGCCCTTGTAAGTTATCCAGGAAGAAGGAACAGACGACTCCAGAAATTTTACAAGGGGGTTTTGTGCATAAAGGTAGATAGAAAATAAATTGCAGATCTAATTATTTAAGGCTGTACCAAAGGAAAGGGGAAAGGAGAGAAAAGTGAGGGTGGCAGCAAAGCTAAGGCAATTGTGCACTGATGCTTCAGTGCTTGGGAAAAGAAGGAAGGGAATGTTGAAAGTTGATGAGAGAGGAGGATGGAGGCTGAGAGTGAGAAGGAGAGGGATGTAGAAATATTAATACTACCGTACTTTCTTTATGACCTGTTGGAGGATGAGAAAGTTGATAAATCCTCATTTTCAAGGCTTTGTTGAACAGAGATGGTGGCACTTGACACCCAGACCAGGGCTTCCAAGAGAATACTGGGCAGGCTAGCGCCCTGTCGGACCATATTTAAGGTGTAGACACAGTCCAGAAAAGGAAAGTACATCATAAACAAGGGTTCAGATCTACAGGCAGGCAGACAGGCAGGCAGGCAGAGAGAAACAGCTGTGGGCAATGTGGATGCCAAACAGGATTCTCCTGAACTAATAAGAACAAAGACTAGAGCAGTTATAGAAAACAAAAACTAGGGTGGCTGCTGAAGGGAGAACAAAAGGGCTTTTCTGAATAGAGCTGCTCTAATCTGGATGGGTGTGTGTTGATATTGACCTGGAAAGTCAAAGGATTACTCAGAGCTCTCAGTTGCCCATGGCAAGCAAATTGTTTTCCCGATTTCAGTAGGAGCTGGGGGAACCTTGGCTTTTGTGAGTCTAAGAAGCTCCTTAGATTTATTTCTTTTTTTTTGGGGGGGGGAGGGCCAGGATCATTTCTTGCTCATGTCAAAAGAGGTTGGCAACTAGTCCTGCAAACACACCCTGTTCTTGCCAGTTGACTGTCATAGACAGTCTTTTAATACAGAATGAGAGATGTAGGAGACAAAATGGAGGCAAGCTAATGTTCTCTGGCAACAGTGCAGTCTTACCTTGTCCGCCTGTGCTATAACTGCACTTAGCAGCCATCGGCTTTGGCTGCTTTTATTTGTAATTGTACTGCTGGTTTTTATTTTCATTTTAAGCACTGCAGTTGAGTGTTTATTATGCTGCTTGTTTTATAAGCCAAGTTGTTTTAGAGAAGAATGGTAGGGCAATAGAGTGATTAAATCAACTAGGTGCTAAAATTCAAAACATTAAAATACTTTTATATTACCATACTTAAAAGACTAAACAGTAGATAATTAAGACTTCCAATCTATTTGTAAATTCTCAGCTAGGCTTCTTCTGCAAAATCTCCTGTGAGGCTAGGTCTTTGAGGCTTATTAAGTTGCAAAGTGGAACTCTGGCTAACTCAAAGAAAAGGGTTCTTTGTACTTTAGAGCACAGTTTGTCATGCAGTTCACATCATTTGCATGTGAAGTGAGAACGCCATTTCTAATCTATTTTCACAGAAAATGTTGAACCCAGTGTTTAATGGGTCATATCTTTGAGCAGAATGTTAGGAACAAATTAAGGGAGGGCAGGGAATAACATTTATTTGATAAGATCAGTTTGGGGCCATTTCCCCTTATACAGTCATACCTCGGGTTAAATATGCTTCAGGTTGAGCGTTTTCAGGTTGCGTTCTGCGGCGACCCATAAGTAACAGAATGGGTTACTTCCGGGTTTCGTTGCTTGGGCATGCGCAGACGCTCAAAATGACGTCACGCTCATGCGCAGAAGCAGCAAATCGCAACCCGTGCAGATGCGGGTTGCGTTCTGCTCAGAATGCGAACGGGGCTCCGGAACGGATCCCATTTGCATCCAGAGGTACCACTGTAAGTGATAAGGGGACTTCTCTGCATTCTCTACTAGGCAATATGTCATGGATAGCAGCATTGTTGGGGGGGCAGGGGGTGTCCATTTAAAAAAAAATTATTACTGTGCAGGAGCTAACTTCTTGGGTATGTTTTGTTTCCATTGCAGGTTGCATTTTTGAAGATGTGAAGGAACCTGGTCTGATCCTTTTGAAAATAAATTCCTGTCAAGATAACCTTCAGCTACAAAGAACTGTGGATCTAAGTTACCAAGTGGGGATGTTTTTCCCCCTGAAAGTGATTGTGAAGTTCCTAAGCCAAAGGGAAAAAGCAGTTAATTGTATATTTAACTTGCTGTTTGTTGACTTTGGAGTTTTGAGAAGTTCAAAGAATGTGATGGAGGCAAGTTGGTCAAGCAGGGAGGCCAATTTTTGCAAGGCTTGAGTTCAGAGAGCAGCTTAATTTGGGATGTCTGGAGTCTTTGAGATCGCTTGTGAAGAACTACTAATTCTCCAAGGAGAAGTCAATTATCTTCTGCAGCAACTGAAGCTTTAAAAAAAAATAAAAATAAAGGAACACACAGTGGCTGACTTGCCCTTCTAGGAAACAAAATCTTCAGAGCTTTGTGAGCCCTTGACCTAATGGAATGTGAGTGGGAAAGGGAGTGACAGAGGGTGGGGGAAGAAGGTTTGCCTGCCCACTATTTGTGGCTCAGATTCTCCTCAAGGGAATCTCACCCTCAGCAGAAAAATGGTTTTCAATCCCTGCTTTTATGATAAAAAATTTTTTGGGTAAACCGTGAACCCTGATTGCCAAGAAAAGCCTAAAAGTTTTTAGATTTAACAGCAGATTATTCCAAGGTAACGTTGGTTAAGGGCTGGTCCCTGCATGTATTTACACCACTTGATTTCTGAGATTAATGGTGAGCTGTCTACATTTTAAAAAGCATTGAGTCTGAGATGATATTGAAGTGATGGAGCCGGGACAGTGTGTCATGTGCTGGATCAATAGCAAATGTTCCGGGTGCTGGGTTGCAGAAAGCATCAGTGGGACTTAGTTACTCACAGAAACATACTTGCTTCAAAGAGAGGCTGACGTGCCACAGGGTTGCTGTGTGATGTATTGGAGACCACCGTATTAATAAGTCAGAGTGCCCAGACTACCTAAGGCCGCCCTTGTTTGCAAATTTGAATGGTTTTCTCCCTTTCAGCTAAATGGAAACACAAGGCCATGTCTGCAGAAAGGTTGCAGTGTATTTTGTGCCTCGAAAGCGCAAGGTATAATGTATTACAGAGCACTCCAGTGCACCTCCTGAAGGCAAGCAGACCCCACAGGAGCAGCACCGTATCAGGGGTTGTGCTGCATGGCTTCTCTGTCTCAGTTGCACATGGGTCCAGCTGTAGTGTGGAATGCATGACTGATTGCTCATGAAAGCAGTGTGTAATTGACCCGTGTAAAAGTTCCAGTGCACACAGACAGATGCAAATCAGTGTGCATCCTTATCATCAACAAAGTTCCCAAGTAGTCATTCTCAATAATTTCCTGCAAATGTGCAAAGGACTACAGCATACATCACACTATTAAGATGGCATTTTTCATGTACAAAATTGTGTCCTGACACTTGGCAGAGAATTCCATGGAAACTTTTTTTTTTAAGTTTTACTTTATTTTAGCCCAGCACAAAGGTGAGTGTACACAGCAATTCCATTGCACGGCTTGTGCAGGCTGTTTTCTCAGATTACCAGACTTGCCCTTTAATAGACTTTGATTTATGTGGTCCTAATAAGAGCAGAGCAGGCAAAGGCCTTTATTTGAGCATTGAAAAGAAAGCAGATATGGGACAATTTACAGCTTGCGCTTAGCTGCAAAAAAGGTATTTTGCCAAATGACTGAGGAAATATATTTCAGGCTGATGAAAAGCCACTAAATCTGGAGAGCTTTAAAAAATAAATGGCATTTTAAAGGGGAAACTTGAGCTGCTGCTGTAGCTCATCCTTACTAATTATTAAAATCCTATTTTGAAGCTGTGATTTACAAACATAGTTTGACTGTTGTGAGTTCTCTTCAGTTTGTGAAGAAAAAAATGTCAATTCCCATCCTGCAAATGGATATGTAGAAGACCTGGATTTTTTGCAGCCCTCTGCTTACTCTGCCAAAGAAGTAATGGGGAATCTAATTTGTCATCACTCATGAAGCAAGAGGACGTCTCAAAATGATGCTCAATGTAAAAATAAATTTGCCATTTTTCTTGAAAGAAACAAATGATTGACCATTGTCAGAAATTCTTTAGATCTCCCACAAGATCTCTCAAAAGTAATGAGAAGCTTGTTTGCAAAGATAATAATTAGGATGGAATTTCACCTGCTAAACGTTTTTGTATGGGCAATATACAACAACAGGCAGTTTAAACCTTATAAGAGAGGTGCCATAATTTGGGGAAAGGAAATCTGAAGGGAGAAAAATCAGGATTTGATCCAGAATCAGCACCTTACATTACATTATTACAGTGATGGGAGAAACCATAATTACTTAACTCTGCTTTGGCATCTTGGTAATGGTTACCTGTTTGTGGAATGCCTTCCCTGGTGACATGTGTATGTCTTCATTAACTTTCAAGAAAAACTTAAAAACATTTCTATTCACTCAGGCATTTAGTGGCTAAAAGATACTGTTCCTGGAAACCTTGAAATTATTAGCTATGAGGGTGTGTTTTAAAATGTTTAGATAGTTTTTAAATAATTGTATTTAAATAACATTCTTACCTTATTTTTAATAGCACAGTTTTACTGCTTTGTATCTGCTGCCCTTGGCTCCTTTGGGAGAAGGGATGGGATGGAAATTTAATAAATAAATAAAACTCTTCTCCTTCCTCCAACCCTGGTTCCTGTCTCGAGGGAGCTACACAACTTGCTGCCCCCTCCCCCTGGCTCAGCCTTGGGGGGCCCTGCCTCTGCCACACACTCCTTGGAACCATGCCAGTCCCTGACAGGTGCCTTATTATAAAAAATTATCACCATCTCCACTGGGTGGTTACTATTTCCTCATTATTATTTTTTTCATTTTTGAAAAGGAAAGCTTTTTCAGAATTGCTTCCCTTCATTGTTCTCTCTATTTGTCAAAAAGCTGCTTCAGGAACTCTATACCCAAAGGCATTGAGGAACTTGAAGCTGTTTGGCCAGGGCTTCCACATGAGAAGGTTACAGTGAAAAATGATTCCCGTCAAATGAAAACTGATTTGGCATCATTAAATATGGGCAAGGTGGTTCACGTTGCGCAGTCAGTCAGCCACATGTCGGTGCGCCCATAACTTTCAGAGCAGTTACCTGGCAGAAAGATCCCTGGACTCTCATCTGTGAACACTTGTTTCCTGTCAAATTATATCCAAATATGCTCTGTTGCATTGACAGTTTTGTCTTTTTATTTTTGGCCCTTCATCTCCTTGTGCCAAAATCTCTCCTTGAGCCTTAAGTAAATTTTTGAATCTTTTTCAGTCTTTTATTTTCCCCAGACCAATGTTGATGTGATGCAGTTTTTAAAGTTGCCAAATGACTGCTAGAAGATACTATGTCCCAGTTCCAAACATGCCTGTATAGGGTTGAAGCTTTGTTTATTGAGGATCCACAGTGATTATATACAGCAGACCCACTGCTCCAAAGGAAATTATTCTGTGCTAAAGATCTTGGCTCTTTTTTTTTTTAAAGCAACCTAAATCCTTCTATCTTCTTTTTTAATGCTGAATTTTAATTTGGATAATTCCAAATTCTCTCAAAATAGACAGCTCTCCCGAGTTTTTGTGCGCACATTGACCTTTGAGACGATCAATAATGGTTTCTTCTGTTACTAGCCGCAAGGGGATTACCTGGTATTTAAAACAAATGGAGAGTGTAAACCAGTCTAGTTTTACTTAAGTTTAAGTGTTGTTTTCAATAGTGTCTCAAGATTAAAAACAAATAATTGATGAGTAAGTAAACATGATGGTTTAAAATGTGTTACTTCATCGACTCAATCTGTACGCACATCCTTGAGAAGCTGTGCAGATATGACTTTAACTGGACTGAACTAGTGCAGAGATGCAGTGGAATGCAATTGTTAAGGTTGGACTGTGACATTGACAGGCAATAAAAGATGCAGGTGGCTAGAGGCAAACCAATTCAGTAGGACTTGGATTTAGAGTTTAAACATTTTGTAGGGCAAGGCAAAGTCATCCTAACCTGTGGTGACTGCTTGATTAATGCTGTAAGTTCAAAAAGAAGAGAGAAGAAATGAGTTAAGAAAAGCAATCTGTTATGCATACTGCTTAACCAGGTAAGTGGTGCTAAGGAAAATGTAGGGTTCTGTTGTTGTTTTTGTTTGCTGGGCAATAATTCATTTCCAGTGGTTTTGTACCAGGGATAAAAAAGCAGGTGATGGATAAAATTTTCCTTGCTCCTACATAATCATGCCCCAGTTTCAGAATTAATGCTTTGGGTAAAGGTAAAGGTACCCCTGCCCGTACGGGCCAGTCTTGCCAGACTCTAGGGTTGTGCGCTCATCTTACTCTATAGGCCGGGAGCCAGTGCTGTCTGGAGACACTTCCGGGTCACGTGGCCAGCGTGACAAGCTGCATCTGGCGAGCCAGCGCAGCACACGGAAACGCCGCTTACCTTCCCGCTAGTAAGCGGTCCCTATTTATCTACTTGCACCCGAAGGTGCTTTCGAATTGCTAGGTTGGCAGGCGCTGGGACCGAACGACGGGAGCGCACCCCGCCGCGGGGATTCGAACCGCCAACCTTTCAATCGGCAAGTCCTAGGCGCTGAGGCTTTAACTCACAGCGCCACCCGCATCAATGCTTTTGGTAAGCGCTTACTAATAACACTGAGCAACACCAGGCACTGTCTAGAAAGTAGGATAAAAATACACCAAAACCAGGAAGCATCCAGGATGAAGTGCAAAAAAGGGAAATGAATCTAAACAATTGTTAAACTATTTTTTGTGTGGTTGAACATCTTAGAATGTATTATAATAAAAATTCTAGTGAGTCCCCTGGTAAATAAAGTTCAGACAGCTGTGTTCACCATGAAATATTTAAAAGTACAGGTTGAGGTGGTGCTCCCGCATGATTTTGCCATTCAAGTTGTTTTCAACAACAGAAACTTTTAGATTGGTTAAGAAACGAAGAAATGGGTACGGTCTTTGAACTTAACTTTTTATTATTTTTTTAATTTGCATGTGTTGTGGCTGTTTCTAGTTTAAAATAGGTTTTATCATTAGATATCTGACCTGTTAGAATGTGTATTTTAATAAATTAAAGTTTTTATCCTTTTTATGTGTGAACAGTTGTTATTATCTTTTTAGAGAAGCCCTTGACAAAGGCATTTTTGGCTGAATCATGTAGGGCACATTGTATAAATAAATAATCCGTCCCTTCTTTCTTTCTTTGGTTATCTGTGAGATTCATTTCTCCTTTTTACTCTGTCTAAAAACTGTATTTTCTGAAATGCACTCTCAAATAACTCATCTGAAACATTTTGCTTGGAATGACTTCTCAGGACATTTTTATGCTGCTACTTCTCTCTCCTCCACAAAACCCACCATAAAGTTCTTGGCACAGCCTGTTACTGTACTTATCCCCTGTTGAAACTACACACCTAAGTACATATGACTGAACTGAACATACATTCCTTCCCCCTTGTACCTTAATTCCTTCTCTTTGTCAAATCATAGACCAGGAAAAGCCAATACACATGGTTGGACTGCCATCAACTCCAGCCAGCATGGTCAAGATTCATGAAAGGTACCATGTTGACTACCTATGCCTTAGACTATAAATTATTTGTGGAAGGGGCATGTCATCTTGCTGTTTAGTCTGCAAAATGTCATACACACAAATGGGGCTATATGGGGGGAGCTGGAGCTCAGTGGTGGAGCACATACTTCTCATACTGAAGGTCGCAGATGAAATCCCTTCATAGACCCTCAAGAGCTTCTGCCAGTCAGCATAGTAGAGAATGCTGAACTAAGGGGATAAACTGTATAAGACAGTGACTTCTATATGTACCCAACAATAAATGCAGAAGCCCTGTGTACCTTGATGTCAGCAAAGCATTTCTAAGCACTAAATACTTTCTGTTTGAGATCACCTAACTAAAATATGGACATTTGCAATATCTACTGTTATTTTCTATGTTCTTGAATTTGCTGCTTTTTTATTCTGTGTGATAGACACAACTGTGCCAGTCACAAGACTCCATATTCCTATACCAGCTGGATCCTCATCCGATGAAATATATTACCTTACAAATTTTGTATTATTCCTACAGACTAATACAGTGATAATTTTTTATATGATCTTGAAAAGGAGAGCAGATTTGCAAAGCAAAACATTTCTCTTCAACCAGATCTTTGGCTGATTAATATTGAGCATTTTAAATGTATTTGTGTAATGTTTTGTTGCCTTTGTTTTGAGGATTTGTTCTTTTATCTTGTGGTTTTATCTTGTGAACTGCCCTGAGGTTTTTTTAATGAAGGGCAGTATAAGAAAGAAAGAGAAAGAAAGAAAGAAAGAAACTTTAAAGTTAATTCAGTACTGGATAACTCCTGAGTTCAGGCTGAAACAGACCAATTTGTCTTTTACAGGGGGAGTACACTGAACTGTGAATTCTGATTATTCAAGCATCTGCACACAGCCGTAGGGATTTCTTTTTTTAATTAAGAAATGCAGCCTACAATAATCTTCTATGAGTACCGGTGAGTCGAATTTAACTCTAAAGTCATTAGGAATGTTAAAATACCATATACAGAGAGAATATTGAGTCTCAGAATGCACCAATGCTGAATTTACTCTTTTTGCTACTTAGGTTTGTGATATGGTGTGCGACTGTTGTTCTAAACAGATCGTGCATGGAGAAGCATCTTAAAGAAATACACAACGAAAGAAAAATTATGCCAGATGCCATATGACAACTTTTACAGGATTCAAAAAGGAAGAATGGGCTAGGACTGTCACTGCTCTTAAAACAAAAAGACAGGATCTCCAGGTGGTGACCTGTCAACCCATGACAGAAGAAAGACAGTTTATTTTATGGTTTATCAGTCTCCTTGTGCAATAAGCCTCTGGCTACATATACCGGTATATATATTTAAAGGAGTTATGGTACCCAAATACAGCAAAATGCAAATGAAATGTGAGATTTTTATCCCCATTTGTATTGTAAAGCTCTTCAAATTGGCAGTTTTCAGCACAGTATTACTTAACTCTATTGCACACATGCCAACTTCTATATCTTCTCAGAGCTGGCAAGAGAGATAAGGTACAAATCAGATGTGCATTATAGATGTGTCAAATCCACACTGATGGCAACTGTAGAAATTTGCTGCGTACAAGACCCGCTCCCCCACCAATTTGCCATAACAAAGAAAAGCACAAGGCCAATCACTATTGGAAGTCTATTAATTCAGGCTGTTTTCTCAGAAGAACCATGACAGTGGTGGTGCCCTGAGCCAAGCAGAAAGGTTTTATGAAGTCCAAACAAACACAATGAACCACCTGATCTTTCCTGATTTACTAGAAGTTGCACAGGAGGGCCTGCTAAGGGCTCTGTCTGTAAATATATGCTGCAGGCTCCACAACTGAGAATGTGCTTCCAAGGAGAGACTTCCCCCCCCCTTCCCACACACATCAGCTCCTGGTAGTCTCTAGGCCAGGCTTCCTCAAACTCGGCCCTCCAGATGTTTTGAGACTACAATTCCCATCATCCCTGACCACTGGTCCTGTTAGCTAGGGGTCATGGGAGTTGTAGGCCAAAAACATCTGGAGGGCTGAATTTGAGGAAGCGTGCTCTAGACCAGTGTTTCCCAACCTTGGGCCTCCAGCTGTTTTTGAACTACAATTCCCATCATCCCTGACCACTGGTCTTGCTAGCTAGGGATGATGGGAGTTGTAGTCCAAAAACAGCTGGAGGCCCAAGGTTGGGAAACACTGCTCTAGACCTAGTGGGGCAGTTTGTATCAGGAGCTTGTCCTACTCTCAAGTAGGACCCTGGCAGAGACACATGCCCGACTGGCATGTTCCCTCCCTCCTGGTCGATTGTTCGGGAGCTTCAAAAGCATTATTCTGCCCGAACATCACAGTGAACAATGCCAACAGACATCGGCATACTTAGGGATCCGCAGAGTCTTTGCAGCTTGCATAACAGACCTCAGCAACTCAGCATTTTGGCTAATCTACTTTATTTACATATAAACACACAAGGAGCACTGCAACATGGCTCCCTCTCTCTCTCTCTCTAGCATCAGACAGCAAAGAGAAAGAACAAAGGACAATAGTCCCACTTCACGGAACACAGTAACACAAACATCCTGTCTCCGTCACATCCCACTCTGTGGAGTCAAAACATACACTGTCATGTGATAGACAAAAATCCCATGACTGCAATCATGGAGAAGGAATTCTAACAGTTTGTGGCTGGGGCGGTTAGGCAGGCAGGATCAAAAATTCCATACGAGTAGGGTCAAGAAGGTCACGTGTGTGGGGCAAAGTTGTTCTGCTTTTCTCCCCATCCTCCTCCCTTGCAAATATATGGATACTAAAGCATTACAGTTGCAAAAATAATTGACCCCTAACTAAACTGAAAAGTGTATTACCTTGATTTAAAAGAGGCCCCTCCTGTCACAACTTCTAGTGTGGTTTAATGTGACAATAACCATACATGTAGGTACACAAACACACACATACATATGTACACACCTCAGATTAGTGTCTGGTGATCAGGTAAGTCTTAAGACCTTCCCATTTTGCCAGACCTCTGCAAGGGATCTAGTGTACAGTTGTATCCAATGGTATATGAGTGGTGATCGGCTTGCACAATGGGGCTTGCTCCAGAGGCTTTCCAAAACTGCTGCAACAGATTTTGAGGTGGGGGAGAGACGGCCAGAGAGAGGAGGGGACAGTTCTATGGAAGTTCCATTGTGCAAGTGAAACATCAGTATTTGATAAAATACCCATAGCCTCTGGCTGACTTGTTTTTGTTTATTATTACTGTACTAATTTATTTCACTGACTATGTTGGATTTTAATCATTATTCTATTTTCATTGATGTCCTTTTCATACTTCTTGCTTCACTAAAATACCATGATTGTTACTTCATCATGTAACAGGACTGCAGTGGTTATATTTGCAGCTGTGGATATCTAGCCAAATTAGGGTTGTCGTCTTTTTCCCTGACACAGTTTCTCTGTCAGCTGCTTGACAGCAATTAAAATGGGATTTTATTGATACAAGAATGTCCCAATACACTCCAGCCTATTCCAACCTATTTCTTTGGCAGATACTGTGCTAATGTAGCTGCATAAAACATTTCAATTTGGCATTCCTGCCTAAGGTGCTGGAGAGAATCCATATGAGCAAATTCTGGGTGATTTGATTCCTCCCAACAGCAAATAGTTTGGGGTGTTAACAGAACTCAACAAAAACCAAGCTTGGGATGGCTGATGAGTAACTAAAAGTGTTTACACAAAACTGTAATGGAACCTCAGCAGTTATGTAAAGCTTCCACATTCTATGTGTCTTAACATAACAATTGCCACAAATTTCTCCGTAATGCTGGTAAAGATGCCAAGCTCTTAGCCAAGCAATATCCTCAGTTCAAAATGCAGGGCTTCTGCAAGAAGCAACATTCAAAATTTTAAAAAAATTAAAAATCAAATGTCCTTACCATATATTAATTTCCTTTATAAACAATGAAAATTTATGAATATTTGTGCAGAAATGACTGCACAAACTTTATTTTATTTTGATAAATAAAAATTGTGTTTAGAATCCCTTACTATATTATTACAGATAACTTTTCTGTTTATATATTCATTGCAGCTGCCTGAAGTTCAAAGACTGGGGACGTTAACTGAACCAGTCCTCTTCTTATGTGTAATATTTTAACATAATATACAAAAGCTCTTGAGAACTGGCTCTCAAAAGTGCTCCCTGGAAATCACATTTGTGACACACCTCAATCTATACCAAAAACACTTAATTCAGTTGCCTCTAAATGCATTTTTAGTACTATGTTATGTAGTCCTTGTGTTGCGACTTTCAAATGCTAGTATTCATGAGTTTTTCTCCAGTGGTTCAGTATGATAAATGATGTTATGCATGCTAATTGAGTCCATATATCTCCTTAATATCTAAACTGTTTTCTGGCATTTCTCTGACTTGGAAATTCATGACTCAGCATTTGCTCACACTGTGCGCAACACAGTGCTTCCCTCCTATTAACACATTTCTCAGTTATCAGGTGGGAGTTTGGGTTTATAAGGATTTCTGATAAATGCAACAAACTGTATCATTTTAATCTTTCCTTGTTTTGTTTTTTTGTATGGCAGTAGTTTTTACTTAGTTATAAACTTATAAAACAAAGGCATTGTTGATAACTCTGTAAATATTTATTGTTTGCTGATCTAAACTGAAATATTTTGGATTTATTTTGAAGATTTACTTCATCATACAACTAGGAAGTGGGCACTTTACATACACAAGCTGCAATGTTATCATCAGTTGCCATTGCCACAAAAGTATCTCATCCATACTGCTCCAGAAATATGCCATTTAGACTATTTCCACTGTGGCTGCCACAGGCATCTGATCACACCCAAATGGGCTATAGGGGTGAGGTTTGGGGGAAAGGCTTTTTAGTGTCAGTGATACAATTGCAGGATGACAAGTGACGCTGACCCCTTTCGGGCCCTTGTAATCTTACCATCTTTATTGTAATTATTTTTTCATCTTATTACCATGCAAGCTTGTTGGCATAAACAGCTGGCATATAAACATTTGAAATAAAATAAGCAAGTCTAGTTATCTATTTAAATCAATTATATGTGGGGTTTTCTTCATCCAAAGCAGCATTTAAAGATATAAGCTAAGCACTTAAAAGGGGTATTTCCATTGTAATGTTTTTCATTCATGAAGATTGCAGGAAACTCCATTGTTACAATGCTGTGATGTTCCTTAAAGCCACCCATTTTGCTTAAAAAAACATGAGAGTAAGGGATTAACATTCAAGCAACTTAAGTCCTTGCACCCCAAAATTGATCATTGTACAGTGGTACCTCGGGTTACAGACGCTTCAGGTTAAAGATGCTTCATGTAACAGACTCTGCTAACCCTGAAATAGTACCTCGGGTTAAGAACTTTGCTTCAGGATGAGAACAGAAATCGTGCGGTGCGGTGGCAGCGGGAGGCCCCATTAGCTAAAGTGGTACCTCAGGTTAAGAACAGTTTCAGATTAAGAATGGACCTCCAGAACGAATTAAGTTTTTCACCTGAAGTTCCACTGTATATGCTTTACAGGCTCCCAACCCAAGCACCTTACAATATGAAATATTGCACAGGGAAAACAACAGAGGAAAGGGGCTGAAGTGCAAATCAGTAAACAGGCTGGGGTAACCTGTGTGGTCATTGCGAAATTCCCTAACACAACTAGGCAATAATGTCCATTGCAAGAACATCTGTGGCAAACAACCGACTCCTGCAAAGATCTCCAGAGTTTTACCGCTAAATCCCCTGAATTAGTGTTTCTGTAAATACATGTGTAAATTTCAGCAGCCACACTCAAGTTTGGTGCCCCTTGACCTCTCACACTCCATTCTAAATGATAGTTGTGGCATCCCCTGCAGCGCCCCTGAGGCGCCACATTCCAGTTTGACTGAACCGCTCACACTCAACTAAATCCACCTCGGCTGGTTTCCAACAACATCTGGAGGACCACATGTTTGTTTCCACCAATAATGCAGTTTCCAGTCACCTACGCAATATTACTCAGCAAACACCCTGTTACCACCAAACTCTATGTATTTATGTTCCCAGCAACAATATAAACTTTTCATTTTCGGTTGTATTGGTTCAGAAGAATGTCATTGTATACCTGTTATTTCTTCTGCATGAAGGCCAGTCAGACTGACAGTAGTGCCAGCTGCTGTCTATCAATGTGCATGAGACTCTCTTCAAAAGCCCACACTACTTTTTGAATCATCTCAAATTTTAGGAATGGAACTGACAGAGCAGCAAGAAAATCACAAGGCTTATGTCAGAACTGCAAACATGAATTTTTTTTTGCAGGGTCTCTCACAGTCTCCCTCACAGCTCATGCTTGCAATATATTTTTGGTGAAATTGAAGTTGTCCAAGGCTTATCACTGAGGTTGTTGATTGTTTAAAGGCAAAAAAGCACCTGTATGAGAACACACACACTAAGAAGCGAGGGTGAATAAGAAAGAATATGAAAGGGAAGGGAAGCTGGCTTTGTAAAAATATTCAGAAGGCAAACATTCATTATGAATAACATTGTACACAAATGCAGTCTAATGGTCATGCAGCATGTGGTTCTAACTTCAGCCTAAACTTCAGAATTCTAATGACTATTGGCCAGGGTATGCTTCTATCTGCAGCTGCAACTAGTCTGTCATGTCAGAGCTATTCCTACAAGAATTGGGACACTGCTCAGAAGCTGAGCTCATTATCCTTAGGTGTGAGATCCCTTTATTGACCTGTCCTGTTTCAGCAGCTAATAGAACTGTCAGCTCTGCTCTCACTCTCACATCATCTTTACCAGAAACCTGTTAGTAGCTTTGAAGGAAGCATGAGAAATGGGACATTCCAAGGGCACAAAACTTCTTAAAGGAACATGAATTTTTATGCAAAGTGGAATTCTCCTCATAATGAATGAAACTTTTTAATGGATACCTACAATTAGAAATCTTAAT